TTTTTTTGCGGTACGCGGGCCTCTCACTGCCATGGCCTCTCCCGTTGCGGAGCACAGGCTCTGGACGCGCAGGCCCAGCGGCCATGGCCCACGGGCCCAGCCGCTCCGCGGCATGCGGGACCCTCCTGGACCGGGGCACAAACACGCGTCCCCTGCATCGGCAGGCGGACTCCCAACCACAGCGCCACCGGGGAAGCCCCATTATTGGGATTTTTGATAGAGATTGCGTTGAATCACATTGGGTAGTATTGACATTTTAATAATGTTAAGTCTTCTAATCCATGAACATGGGATGTCTTTCCATTTATTTATGTCTTCTTTAATTTTTTTCAGCAACTTTTTTTAAAAATTTTTTTTGGCCATGATTTGTAGCTCGTGGGATCTTTAGTTCCCCGAACAGGGATTGAACCTGGGCCACAGCAGTGAGAGTGCTGAGTCTTAACCACTGGACCACCAGAGAATTCCCATCAGCAACGTTTAATAGTTTTCACTATACATATCTTTCACCTCCTTGGTTAAGCTAATTACTAAGTATTTTATTATTTTTGATGTTATTATATGTGGAATTGTTTTCTTAATTTTCTTTTGACATTGTTCATGTATAGAAATGCAGCTTATTTTTTTATGCTAAAAAGGTACACTTTATTTTTTTAATTTTTATTTTATATTGGGCTATAGTTGATTTAAAATGTTGTGTTAGTTTCAGGTGTACAGCAAAGTGATTCAATTATACATACACATATGTCTATTCTTTTTCAAACTCTTTTCCCATTGTTATTACAGAATATCGAGCAAAAGGACCTATACAGCATGTCCTTGTTGGTTATCTATTTTAAATATAGTAGTATGTATATGTCAATCCCAAATTCCCAATTTATCCCTCCTCCCACCCCACCTTTCCCCTTTGGGAACCATAAGTTTGTTTTCTATGTCTGTGAGTCTGTTTCTGTTTTGTAAATAAGTTCATTTGTATCATTATTTTTTAGATTCATCATATAAGTGATATCATATGATATTTGTCTTTCTCTCTCTGACTTACTTCTTAGTATGATAATCTCCAGGTCAATCCATGTTGCTGCAGATGGGAAATGCAATTTATTTTTGTGTGTTGACTTTGTACCCTATAACTTTGGTAAATACACTTATTAGTTCTAACAGCTGTGTTGTGGAGTCCTTAGGGTTTCCTACACATAAGATTATATCATCTGCAAACAGAGATAATTTTACTTCTTCCTTTCCAACTTGTATGCCTTTTATTTCTTTGTCTTACCCAATTGCTCTGACTAAAATTTCCAGTACTATGTTAAATAGAAGTGGTGAAAGTGGGCATCCTTGCCTTGTTCCTAATCTTAGAGGAAAAGCTTTCAGTCTTTCACCATTGTGTATGATGTTTGCTGTTTCATATATGACACATAGCTTTTCATATACAGCTGACACTTGAACAACATGGGTTCGAACTGTGTGGGTCCACTTATACACACATTTTTTTCCAATAAATACATACTATGATACTACACGATTCACAGTTGGTTGAATCCATGTGTACAGAACTGCGGGTGCCAAGGGTCGACTGTAAAGTTATGCACGGACTTTCAACTGTGCAGGGGGTTGGTGCCCCTAACCCCCTTGCTGTTCAAGAGTCAAGTGTACAGTTTTTCTTTTGTTGAGGTAGTTTCCTTCTATTCCTATGTTGTTGTGTTTTTATGATGAAAGGGTGTCGAATTATGTCAAATGTTTTTCTGCATCAGTTGAGATGATTAAATTGGGTTTTTCCCTTATTTTATGGATGTAGTGTATTACATTGATCGATTTTCATATGTTGAACAATCCTTGCATTCCAGGAATAAATCCCACTTGGTCATGGTGTATAATCCTTTTAATATGCTGTTGAATTCTGTTTGCGAGTATTTTGTTAAAGATTTTTGCATAAATGTTCATATGGGATATTGGTCTGTAGTTTCCTTTTCTTGTAATGCCTTTGCCTGGCTTTGGTATCAGATTTATGCTGGCCTCATAGAATGAGTTAGGAAGTGTTTCTTCTTCAGTGTTTTGGAAAAGTTTGGGAAAGATTGGTATTAGCTCTTCTTTAAATGTTTGGTAGAATTCACCAGTGAAGCCATCAGGTCCAGGACTTTTCTTTTTGGGGAGATTTTGATTACTGATTCAATCTCCTTATTAGTCTTGGGTCTATTCAGATTTTCTATTTCTTCGTGATTTAGTCTTGGTAGGTTTTGTGTTTCTAGGAATTTGTCCACTTCATTTAGGTTATCCAATTTTTTGACATGCAATTGTTTCTAGTGCTCTCTTATCTCTGTAGAATCAATAGTAATGTCCCCACTTTCATCTCTAATTAGGTAATTTGAGTCTTCCTCTTTTTTTCTTAATCCAGCTAAAGTTTTGTCAATTTTGTTGATCTTTTCAAAGAAGCAACAATTAGTTTCATTGATTTTATCTATTGTTCTTTTATTCTCTATTTCACTTATCTCTGCTCTAATCTTCATTTCTCTCCTGCTGGCTTTGGGTTTATTTTGTTATTTACTATTTCCTTAGATTTTAAAGTTATGTTGTTGATTTGAGATCAGAAATTGTCTATTATTTTCTTAGCATTTACAGTAGCCAAAAATGAGAACCCTGAGCCTACTCACACACAAACTAAACATTAGGAAAGCAGATTTCAAAAAATAGTTAGAGAAATTTTGACATGATTGCATAGCAAGAGACTCTTCAAGGAATGTTCCTGGAGTTTCCCAGCCCTCTAAAGCACAGATAGAAAAGATAGAAAGAGGGAACCAAAATCAAAAGAGTAAGAATTTTGTTAAAAGGGCTCAAGCTCTGATTAAGTGGAGACTCATGACAAATACTAAGTTCAACTTTAAAAGACTATTTTATAGGGACTTCCCTGGTGATGAAGTGGTTAAGAATCTTCCTGCCAATGCAGGGGACACAGGTTCGATCCCTGGTCTGGGAAGATACCACATGCCACAGAGCAACTAAGCCCGTGTGCCACAACAACTGAGCCTGCACTCTAGAGCCCGCAAGCCACAACCACTGAGCCCACGCACCGCAACTACTAAGCCTGCACGCTGCAACTACTGAAGCCCACGTGCCTAGAGCTTATACTCCACGACCAGAGAAGCCACCGCAATGAGAAGCCCGCGCACACTGCAACGAAGGGTAGCCCCCGCTCGCTGCAACTAGAGAAAGCCTGTGCACAGCAACGAAGACCCAACGCAGCCAAAAAAAAGAGAAAGACTATTTTATAAAGCAATGGTTGGAACAAGAAATAGGAGGAAGGAGAGATGAAGCCAGTAGAGATGCAAAAAGAAAGCAGAAGTATTTAATTTCCGTTTTAGCCTGTCTTTATCAAAGGGAGTAACTTTCAAGCTAAAAAATTGAGAACAACCACAAGGGTTAAGGCTAAGATAAATGAAGAATCAGATAGGAAGAGAACTCTTAGCTCTTAAGTTTTGGATTCTAAACACAGATGCTTGACATTCCAGTTCACTAAAAACATTGTAGATGCAATTGCAGAATCTGTGCTTGGTAACATTTGCAGAGTCATGGAGAAGATGAAAATCACCAGAACACTGGAAAACAAAAACTGATATCCAAGTTTTCAGCAAGAAGGAAAATGTAACTCAACAAAGAAAGTGTGCTTTGGCATACTGATCGTACTTGATATTATAGATTTGGGTCCCATCTAAGTCCACTAATTCCTCTTAACCATTTTAGAATATCTGCAACTGGCCCATACAAATAATATTTCTACTAGTTTAACAAATATTTATTAAGGGCCGCCTTTTATTTTTAACCTTGTAACTTTTGCATGTAATCCATACTCGTAAACAGGAGGGCCACAAACATTTTTAAACTGTGGATGAAATCATCCCACAGTGGCCTCCTTCCAGTGGGCTGCACTGAATAGAGTAGCATTACAGGAGTGCAAGACACATGATATTGTTCTGTGAGTATTTCAGGATGAGAAGTTTGTTTAGAGGGCAACAGAGCACCATAAGAAGGCCCCAGAGGTAGGTTTAGTGTTGGAGCTAATAGGGCAAAAAAGATAAAACACAGCAAACCTGAGTATGAATGACCAGTACATTTGCAGTTGGGGAGCTGGCCAAGGGTACAGGAAAGATTGGCAGGGTTGGAGTTAATTGACTTGAAGTGTTAGTAGCTCTCTTGTGTAGACTTATTTCCATGCAGGTGCAAACTGTTGCTCCTGATGGTATCTTAGGCCTGTGGTTGCTAGCAGGTGGTAGTGGACTTTGTCAAATGTTTCAAATGTTACAAGAACAAAATTGATCAAGGTGTGAATGTGCCTAGTCAACTTCCTTACCTTTGTGACTTGTAATTAGGAGAATGAGCAGGAAGGAACTAGGCAGGAGAGGTAGATATAAAGGAAGAGAGGACTCAGGCAGAGAGGCTAAGCTATCTACAAAATGAAGATCTAGGAGACAGTGGGGAAGAGAGAGGAAGAAAATTTGTGTGGGAAATGGAGTAGAGGGAAAGTGTCAGAGCACGGAGCCAAGAGGAGGATCTGGTGCGGCTGCACGAAAGGGCCTGAGCTCTGTGTTGCTGGGGGTATGAATTGGAACCCTTTTTATGGTCTTTGTGATATATAAATATCAGAAATTTTCTAAAATTTCTTTGTTGTTGTTGGACTGTAATTCTTTTCTGTGTGTGTGTGTGTGTGTGTGTGTGTGTGCGGTACATGGGCCTCTCACTGTTGTGGCCTCTCCCGTTGCGGAGCACAGGCTCCAGACGCACAGGCTCAGCGGCCATGGCTCACGGGCCCAGCCGCTCCGCAGCATGTGGGATCCTCCCGGACCGGGGCACGAACCCGCGTCCCCTGCATCGGCAGGTGGACTCTCAACCACTGCGCCACCAGGGAAGCCCTGGAGTGTAATTCTTTAACAATGACTGTGTGAACTGAGCTACATAGAGCCCTAAGATTTATTAGGGTTTCATAATTTTGATGAAAAGGTTACTGAAGTGGGAATTCCAGAGGTAGTGAAGGGAAGACATAGTTAGACCTATATATTCTTTTTTACTCCATGCAGGAATTAATAAGACTCTTCAGTGACCTCAGGGCAATGGACCTCTAAAGAGATGATTTCCCAATATTTGAGAAAAGGGTTTGCTTGTAATTGGGGGGCACATAAAAGAAGACAAACAGAAAAATGAGCTACACAAACAGTCAGTTTGCAAAAGAAACTTTGGCAAATAAGATGGCAAATAAATAAATGAAAAAGTATTTAACCTCGCTGGACGTTTTAAAATATAAAAATAAAGCACAGTAAGATATCAGAGCTTGTGTGCACCCGAGGAGGAAAAACTGTATGGAACAAAACAGCACTCTAACTCAATGCTGTCTGAGCAGCTGTTGAGCTGCCAAGTGATGGGAGGGCTGAGGGCACCGGGACTCAGAACAGTGGGGAGGTTGGCCTTCAGCGGTGG